AAAAAAAACAAAAATACTATAAAATAAAAAATATACGTATATTTTTTTTATTCTGAAAATTACGTTTAAATTGTATTGTTGCATTGGACAATCAGTAGCTCCTTCAAATTTTCAAATACAAATGACCGCCGATTATCTGCTAGCAATGTTTTGTAGCATGGAAAACTATACTATCTCTATAATTGAAATATTGAATATGATATTATTTCTGTTACAAATTCAAAACTTTTATCAAGAACATCTAGTGTAAATGAAAATGTATAAAAATATTAGCTAGATTTCAAAAAAGTATAAAAAATGCCCGTAAAATTGAAATGACCTAAAAATGCTAAAAAATGACCCTAAATCCTTAAAAGTACAAAAAATGCAAAAAAAAAGCAAAATAAAAACTATAAATTTGGACTCGTATATGACTAAATCACATTTTGTGCTTGAAAAGCTATGTCCTGTAAATCCTAAAAAAAATGCAAAATCCTATACTATCCTAGCCCTAGTAATGAAATATATGTACCTACTTACTTACTATAGGTATTTGATGTAACTATATACTTTTATGTGAATAATTTGTTTTTAATATTCAATTTGAAGCTTTTAGTAGTAACAGTGATGGCAGTAGTGGAGAAAAATCACTAGAAGAAATAACACAAAATAATGTATCAGTAAGCTATAATTTGTATTATTGAACTAAGTTCTCACTTGATTCTTTACAAATATGTTAATATGTTATCTTTAAGCAATTCATTTATACTAATACTTAAATGGATTCATTTTTTTATATTTCAATACTTAATTTTATTATACTTCAATATTGGTATCTACCAGAGTACCTACTAAGATCTATGTCTGTCAGTGGCGTGCAGAACATTTTTCAGACCTATGGAAAACTATACAATTTGACACCCATCCCACAACCATCAGGTTTTTTGCTTAATAAAAAATTGTATACATTTATATGATATTTAAAATGACCGATCAAACTAGTGCTCAGTTGCACACCCACCCACCCATATTTTCTTTGAGACGGTTACYTCAAAAAATCGCTGTTTAGCACGCCACTGATGTCTGTATTTATTTCCAATGAAATGTTTTTGTAATAATATGTAGGGATCATATACATTAAATGTAAGATTATGAACTTAACAAATTACTATATAATTTGGGTGAATTGTACAAATATTTTTTATCTTGGCTTACATAAAAAATCAAACAAATCAGAGACAGTACTGTTATTAGTCAAGAGATTGTCAGCATTCTTTGTTTTCTCTCTCTAGCACACGGACAACATAGTCTAACACATTTACACTGAATCATTTTTTTTTTTATGTTTATGAATAGTCTTAGAGTAAGGTTATGCTTTAAATAATTGAAGATTGAGGAAATGTTATTGATTTGTCTAAAATAAATATTAYCTCAAAACCATTTAAACATTTTAAACATTATTTAAATTTACAAAATTTTTTTTAGAAGTCGAATGCTTTGTCAAATAACAATAAAGTACAAAAACAATACTATATATCATACTCTCAATAATATTGTCCTTTATAATTTTTGCGATTTTACTCATGTCACTCAAAGATCATAAAATAAATGATTATAGGTGAAAATGTTTTACCTATATTGTGTATGAGTCTTACAGAAAACAAACATTRCGCTTACATTTACCTAATATAATAATATTAATATAATTTATTTTTATTTTTACTAGTGATATGCAATAAAAATATTTTTATACTTGAGAAAGTTTTAACATACATTTTACTAATTTTTCTCTTGTAGAAAATATTAGAACTACTAAACACTGCAAATGATGGAAAATCATTATTGCCATAATTTCGTCAAATTGGATTATTAGATAGTGCAAGTTGTATGCGCTTGTGTAATTTTATAATAAATCGAAAACTCGGAGATGATGTACAATGACGTATTCCATCGTCACATYTACATAATCTTGCATACCAAATCACTAAAGTTTTTCATAATGAATGAGCAATAACTTATTTTATTCCTTACATTTATTACAGGCTAGGCTTAAAAGGGGTAGCTTAAGGAAAGCTTCTGGATTGGTTAAATAATAGAGAAGGGACTATAGAAGATCTGGTTTGATAAATTTGTCAAGACACAGTTCAACATCTTCTGAATCTACTTTTAATTCTATACCATCTCAGAAAGGACTTGTACTATCCTACAAGTGATACTGGTGATCTATGGTAGTAGGTAGTCATTATCTTAATTATATCATATTATATRTATACATAATTATATTATATATATATATATAATTATATTATATATAAGTCCAGTGTTATAAAAAATATAAAAATATTTGTACCAAAGTACTATTTACTATTTAGTACATTTTTATAAAAAAACTCTGCACTTTGTGCAAAAACTCAAAAACATGCAATTTTAAGCAATATAAAACTTTTTTAATTAATCGATCTAGATCACTTGATTWGGATTTGTAGCTTGTTTCTATAGATTTTAAAAAGGGCTATAAAATGATGCAACTGCTCGGGAATCCGGTCTTCAGTTATAACTATTTGGTATCTCAATAAACAGTAAGATTAAAGT